ATTGAACCTCACCCTATATATATATATATATATATATATATATATATATATATATATATATATATATATGTGTGTGTTAAGTTATTCTTTCTGCATTAACTCAAAAAGAAACACTCGTATATAGCTTAACAGATTAAGGGGGTGTTTCTTTTTTAATCAACTTGGAAAAAAAAGGGTTAATCTCATAAAAGACCTTATTTTTTTCCGGATTAAACCTCAATTTTATTTTTTTTTCCTGAAGAAGACCTTGCATTTTTTCATTTTTCCGAAAAAGCCCTCAACTTTGTCTTTTTTTTTCCAAAAAAAACCCTCACCCTTCTAAATGCTTCCAAATAAACCCTAACCTTTTTTATTTTTTCTCAAAAAAAACCCTCACACTTCACATTTTTTTTGGGTTAATCTCATAAAAGACCTTATATTTTGTGTTTTTCCGGATTAAACCTCAAATTATTTTTTTTTTTGCCTGAAAAAGACCTTGTATTTTTTTCATTTTTTCTGATCCGGCCCTTTTAGTCATTTTTTTCCAAAAAAAAAATTGTAAAATGTGAGGGTTTTTTCGAGAAAAAACTAAAAAAGTTGAGGGTTTATTTGGAAGCATTTAGACGGTTGAGGGGTTTTTTCGTAAAAAAAAAAATGCAAAGTTGAGGGCTTTTTCGGAAAAAATGAAAAAATACAAGATCTTTTTCAGGCAAAAAATAATGTTGAGGTTTAATCCGGAAAAAACACAAAATATAAGGGCTTTTATGAGATTAACGATGAATATTTTGAAATTTGTTTTTTATGGGATATAAGGGTAAAATGGTCATTTAGCCTCGTTCAGACGCTTTATTCAGTTAAAAAAAAAACAACACTTTACCTCAGCCACTTCATCTTTTTCACCCTGTATGCAGATTTCCTCATTTTTGGCCTGTTTCAAGACAAATTAATTATTTTATTTTTAATTTTTTTCAGAAACTATTTACAAAATACAAACATTATAAACAAACTCACCAACTTAAGCTTCAATTCCTCAACATTTTTCCCAAGCTTCAACACATGAAGTTTCAACGACTGCATATAAAAAATTTACAAAGTTTCAAACATATTTACAAAAATCATGATTAAAATTAAATACTAATAATTACCTCTGTACGTTGTGCTTCAATGGAACGTTTTAATGCTTCTCTTTTATTAAGAAGTGTTTGAGGCCTTAAAGAAGGTGGCCTTTTATAATTTTTTCCACGATAAATAATAATTGCATGACCTTTTCTCATGCGTTCTATTGCAACTAATATTCCACCACTTTCTGCTTCTAATGTTCTTGCAATTGCATGAAGCTCATCAATGCTGGATTCACCAGATAATATCTTCACAAGCTCTCTGTATTTCCAATGAAGATGCATGTTTTCAACAGTTCCATCAAAAACCCCACGTCTACCTGACAATGGAAATTGGAATGGAATTGTTCATTCCGTTCGAATGAAAACAACGATGGAATGGAATTAATTTTTGTTCTTTAGCCAGGTGGGTGTTTTTTGTTAAAGATTATCACTAGCCCAATAGAATCAATCTTATCGTCTAAATGAAGTTAGCTTGTTCTAGAATTTTCTAGATCATTCTAGAACATTATAACATCTTTTTTGATAAAGGGCTAAACTCTATTAGGCTAAGCTCCATTGGGCTAGTGATGACCTTCAACATTTTTTATTGTTTCATCATGGAATGGAATAAAAATTGCAAAATAATCCATTTTTGTTTGTGTAATTTATAACGATGCAAATCTTTTTGAAGAAATTTTCCCATTCAGCAATTTTTTTTTTTTTAGTTTTACCTGTTTGACCTTTTACCAATAAAATATAACTCAAATTAATCCATTTTCATAAAAATGAAATTGAGATTTGAGACTCACCCAAAAGTAGAAAAGGCTTCATCTTCATGCCAACTTTCCTCAACATGTATCTTTCCTCTTCAGTGATACCCTCTTTATCTACTTCAAATTGTTGTTTTGTTTCTTCCTTCTCCAATTCTTCTAGAAGCTTCTCTGCCTTTTCTTTGTTCTCCAATGCCTATCATTTAGTAGAGGTGAAACAGCATCTTTGAGTGGAAGGGCATTTTGGGTATTTTAGTTATTAAGTTTTTATGTATTGCTTCCTTTTGAAGAGTGGCTTCTCGAATTTACCAAACTATCCTTTCTTCTTGATCAATTGAGTATTATTAAATGAAATGAAATCTGTTTTTCTTCATTTTGACTTTTGAGTTGACCTTATTGTGTCTTGTTCTATTAAGTGAAGTTCATAGCACATGTGGATTGATACCTGAGACAATTTGGAACTAGTCTTCTTAATAGCTGCTTCACGTGACCTTTGTTTCCTTTGTTCAATGGCAATTTCGAGTTTTTGGTCACTAATTTCACCAATTTTGGAAACAGAGGAGCTTTGGGTTCCATTATCTTGATTGACTTGTGGAGGATTTGATGATGAGTTTGGAGTTTTGTTCCTTTGAAACTCATCAACTCCATGGTTTCTTCTCTGTTCTATTGCTGAAGAAACTGAAGATGGGAGGAAATCTTTACCTCTATAAAGAACAATATACTCCTTATCGCGTGTAAGTAGGGTTCCTCCAGTTAACCACTGAAATATTTTCATGTTGGAGAAAATAAATATGGCATTGTTAATGATAATTTGAAAGAAAAACATCATATTTCAAGATGTTTTAATATTGGTATCAATTCCAAGTAACATAAACCTGCAATTCTTTAGCCATTAGCTCACTGTTAGTATTCTGTACTCCTTTCTTAACAGCAATCTTTGCAATCTCACATTTCTCCCAAAGCTTTAGAATAGCTGCAGCCAATCCTTGATGTTTCCTATTTCTACCTGATACAATACAAACAGACATATTTTCAAATAAGAACATATAGAACTAGAATTTGGAGTGACTTACCTAAAGCAAAATGACATGGTAAAGGCCTTCCAAGTCTTCTAAGAATTGTCATCTCATCATTTGTTAATTTTGGTTGAACTCCAAAGGGGAGAAGCCTGAAGGGTTTCCTGTATCCAGGAACAATTGCAGGTAGAAGATCAGCATCAACTGGTAAAGGTTCATATCCATACCAATCAGTGAACCTTGGACCTAATCCTTGCAAAAGCTGATCAGATTCTTCCATGAGCTGTTTCTCACCAGGTAGCTGAAATCGAACCCTGGTTCTTGAACCCACTCCTTGAATCAAAGGTGGCTCTGGCTCAGTTGTTGTTCTTGTTTGAACACCATTATCTTCAGAGTTTGTAGATGAACTCATTGGTTCATCAACAGATGCATCATTTGGGTTTACAAAGAAGTAAGGATACTTGTAGTCTGTTCCTCTGTACAATATGATAATGCTTCCAGATCTCCAGACAACTAAACCCCCAGTCTTTCTCTGAGAAAAAGCCCCAATGTTGATCATTATGACAAAAAAGAAAGATTCAAGGTCAAGAAAAACTAAAGCATTTGAGTTGATTTTGAATTTTGGACTAGTTGTTTGGAAGGAGGGAGTATTCAGTTGTGTTTGTGAACAATAATGGTATACTACAGGAGAACAGACATTGTTTATCTAACCTCAAGTAAATCATGCGTTCTCCTCATGTTCAATCTACACAAATCCTCACAGACAATCTTTACGAGTTCAGTCCTTCTCCACCTCTCATGGATTCCATTAACGATCCCCTCTGTGATACCAGCCTTCCCAATCTTAAGCTTCTGCTTGACAGCAATTCCCAACCCTCTCAACCTTCTTAACTCCGCCGGTGGCAGCTTCAACTCCGCCATTGTCGGTACATTCTCGCTCTCTCCGTTTCCCTCTAGTGACCTCTTCACCTTTTCCTCTTTCTTCTCCTTCCAAACCTCCCGCCGAAGCTCATGATACCTTCTTATCGCATTTCCAGACCCAGGCTCCGGAACTGGATTCTCAGGCGTACTCCAACTCGGGTCAAGCGTGTGGCCGACCCGGTACTTTGGTATACGATTAGGTAACGGGACAAATATTTCACCAGGAGAGGTAACTAGGGTTACTTCTGGTGCTGAAGGCTGTTGCTTATTGCTATCGTCTTCAACGTAACCTAAGCTTCGAAGCTTATCGGCAATTCTTCGAATTGCGGATTGAGGTAGACTTTTGGTGTCGGCGGAGGAAGCAGATGCGTGAAGGAGAAAGGAACTGCGACGAAAGTGATAAGGGGTTCGAGGAAGAAGGTTTCGGGGAAGATGAATGTGAGAGAGAAAGGGGTTCGTGAGGGTTTTAGGACAAGGTGAGGGCCGTTGAAGCAACATTTGGGGATGATGAATCACTGGCTAAAATTGAGTCGAATTGCTGTAATTGTGTTGGAAATTCGTTGAACTGCTCTTCGATTTTCCCTCCAAAATACTCGATTTAGAATAGTTGATTGTGTTCAGTGTTCTTCCACGAGCTTTCAGAAACCAGAAGTAGTATTTAGCAGCATGTCTGTTTGATGCTTCAATGGACATAAGAAGGCATTTAGGCATGCAACCATATCTATAGTAGTTTTTTATTACTTATATTGTTCTACTTTGTAGTGAATTTTTATTTTAAGAATTATATTTATAAAAACAATTTTTAAAAACTTTTGTTTTAAAAGTTCATGTTATAACAAGTAAAATAAACATAAAAATAAAACAAAATATATAAACACAAAAATATCAATGTTACTCGATAAAGAACCAATCATATATTAATCATTTATTAATTTATGTAATCGGTTACATTTACAAACCTTAGGCACTTGAATATTGATTCTGAAAATATGTTTTTGGATAAAATTGTAAAAAAAATATCCTTGTTGTATGCATTTTTTTGGGTTTTAGTCGAAATTCTGACTTTTTTGTTTTGTGGTCCTTTTAAGCTAGTTTCATTGTGGATTTGGTCCCTCAATAAACTAAAATGACTTTAATACATTTGGGTATTTATTTTCTATTTTTAAAATTAGTTTTTTAATGTTTAATAATTATTTATTCATTTTAATAATTAAAAAATAAGAGGACCTCTCTCTCTCTCTCTCTCTCTCTCTCTCTCTCTCTCTCTCTCTCTCT